CTTCCCAAGGAGGTTGCTTTGATCACAGCCTAAAGATTTTTATTCCTGCAGAATTTCTTGTGTTTTCGTACTGTCCTTTTTATCTTCAGAAATCTGCCTGGGGACAACTAGCCGTTTTTTTTGTTTTTGTTTTTGTTTTTTTTTAAACCCGGGACACCTGGGTACACAGAAGTCCCCTGTAGCAGCAGGTCATTCAGAGATAAGACATGCACATTCCACTAAAAAAGGAGGGATCCCGGAGACCTTGGCTTTTTTTGCATATTTTACTGCTAGGATGAACCAAAGAATCCCTGGCTAGCGTTACTGCCGCAGCTCATTTGGCTTCCTCGTCACAGTTTGAAATAGTGTGTATATAAAGGCAATCAGATCCTTACCTAATGCAAATCAGCACAACTTTAGGAAAGTCGCCTGAGAATCCGACCCTCTGTAACTATTTTAAAGGCGAGTGCAAGCTACCTTGCAGTGTTTCTGATTTTTATGACTCAGTCCATGATTTTAAAACTTAAAGGAAAGCCTTTGTGTCAAAGTTGATAATGATTTTACAGGAAAGTCTAAAAGTAATTTATGGCCAAGAAAGAAATTGGTAAAGCAAAATGTTATCAACTTTTTACTTTGTCAGGCTAAGTCTGAATAGTAATTGTTTGGAAATATCCATTTTGTTTTATTCTCTCTTTTACAACCATATTTTCCATGGGTTGTTCTCACATTCATTTGCTTTCATATCCTTTTGAAATACTCTCAAGTCTGTGAACTTTCAGCTGTGTTGTAGAAAGCACCGTGTTCAATTAGTGCTTTCAACTAGTGTCATAGCTAGCTCTGAGATACATGAATGTATGTGAAAGGAGAACAAAGTTCACAGTTTTAAGTTCTCAGAAGAACCTGATTTTTAATGGAGAAGTAATAGGTGTGTAATAAAGACATAACTGAACCATGAAAATAATTGCAGAGTGGGGCAGCAGCCTGATTTGATCATGATGAAAATAGAAGCTGACAGTAATATAGGAAAACAGATTTTGTATGAAGTTATGACCACCTGACCAATCAGTCTTTCCTTTCCATCCAACACGCTCTACACTGAGGTGCTAACTGAAAACCTAAACTGTGAAACTACTTCCGTCATAAATAGCAACACATCCAACTCTCATAACCACAGGCTGATTGTTTTTGCTGCTAACTGGTAACATTATTTGTTAATGTACTTTTGCCATCTCTGTGTACCAGCTACAGAACCACAGAATCACAGAATCACAGAATGGTTGAGGTTGGAAGGGACTTCTGGAGATCATCTAATCTAACCCCCCTGCTCATGCAGGGTCATCTAGAGCACGTTGCACAGGATTGTGTCCAGGCGGGTTTTGAATATCTCCAGCAAAGGAGACTCCACTACCTCTCTGGGCAACCTGTGCCAGTGCTCAGGCAGCCTCACAGGAAAGTAGTTTTTCCTCATGTTCGGATGGAATCACCTGTGTTTCAATGTGTGTCCGTTGCCTCTCGTCCTGTTGCTGGGTATCACTGAGAAGAGTCTGGCCCCATCCTCTTGACCCCCTCCCTTCAGATGTTTATACACACAGATCAGATCCCACTGAGTCTTCTCTTCTCCAGGCTGGACAGGCCCAGCTCTCTCAGCCTCTCCTCATATGGGTGATGCATGGATATTATGGGAGACTGTGTCAAAGGCCTTGCTAAACTCAAGGTATACAGCATCCAGTGATCTACCATTGTCCACAGCACAGTTGGTCACACATGATTTGTTCCTTGAAAATCCATTCTGGCTGTTCCCAGTCACCTTCTTGTGATACGTGTGCTTGGAAATGGCTTCCAAGAGGATTTCCTTCATAACCTCCAAGGGACTAAGACCCATAAAGAGTAGAAACAGTTTTAAAGAGTAAATTAGAAGGAAACAGATTATAACTTTCGTAAGTTATACACAAAATATGGACCATGCATTATGTGCTTATATTCCTATCACAGCAGCTGTAATTTTTTAACCCCTCAAAGAGTCAGGAACATATACTTGTACATGTATAACCTTTCTATAACATATGTTATCCATTTTGTGTATTATCTTCCAAACAAAACTTGGCCAAGGCTGTAAGAGATTGATGTTACATGCGCTATAAATAATAGCTTTCCTCTAAATGAGTCCTTCTACCTGTCAATCTCTTGGTATTTACAAGCATGTGAATAAAAGGAAATGATTCTGTGGTAGCAAATGGAATTGGTGCAGTGTAGGCAAAAGTTTCCCCTGAGGAAGAGAGGCTGGCTTGTTCTTGTAATGGCAAGGGAAGGTGAGGAGCCAGGATGGAAAGCTGGAGTTAGAGCCTTAAAGTGATAGTACTTTATTGATAGTACTTTAGCTGAGACACGGGATGGGTGGGGCAGCTCTTGAACCCAGCGTGTGGCAGGAGCAACAGCCAGATTGGTTTTTTGGCACTGTAGTTTAGGCAAAAGGAGGACAGGGGACATGACTTGTTAGAGTTGTAGCAATCTCAAATCTGAGCAGTATACCTTATGGGCAAACCATTCAACATGTTCACGTGAAGGGCTGGTTTATATTAAATGCATGTGCAAGAAGAGAAGTCCATTCTAGTTGTTATGTGCAGTTACCATATTTCATTATTACCAGGGGCTAATTTTGGTTCCACTGAAATCGCCAGTAGTTTCACCACTGATGTCAACAAGCCAGCAAAGTCAATGCTCGTTCCTGTTTCTTTGTTTTCTCTTTATTGCCAGCAATGTAGCATATACTTGTCAGATATGTGGTATCCAGCGATTAAGAATATACGATTAGGGATGTACAACTCGGTATGATTGCAGTTATATGGCAGACAGACACTTCTGTTCCTTCAAAAATCATTTTTATTAAGACGGTGACACTTCAAAGCCTTGTCTATCACAAGGTATCAGGGTCACATTCTAAGCTGCTGTTAACAGGTGATGTATTGGTTTCAGGAGTTTACAGCAGTATGCACACACACAGAATTTCACTATGTTTATTTCTAGTGCTATTCTTAACATTATTTATTTTTATTTGGCCACAATCTCTTGATACCTTCTCATCCACTAGATGGCAAACTGACTCTACTTTATTAAAAACTGAAAGCAAATAAGCTCTCCAAACTGCTTGTTAGGGGGGATCAAAATAACAGAGAAGGCACAAAGCAGAAATTGAAGGGCATCTCTAAGTGGACATTCTAATTCTGCAACCAAATGACCCGTGTTCCATGTAGTTTAAGCCTTAAACATTCAAAGTGAGTCTTTTATCAGTGTTTTAAGGTGAAAAAGGGATATTTTGCAAAGGGCAGACTCTCCTTTTGTGCTGTTGCTATCCCATTAAGACAGATTCTCTGGTATACTTTTATGTACCCAAGGCAATATGAAAGAAAAATTGAAAATTTTCATTAAAAACATATTTTGTATATTTAGATTCTTCTTAAGCTGGATATAACATTGTAAAAGTATGCCAGTGTGCTTTTTGTGCTTTCTCTTTAACATGTGATATCTTCAGAAAGGTATTAATTTTAGCGCATAGCTTAGATTTCCATACTAAGTGCTAAGGAATATAAAAAGAAGTGGCATCTGCAGCATTTCTCTATCGTTATTATAATTGCATATTTACTCCTTCGCTCTGTAGAAGTTCTTTGCCACTCTCAGAATTTAGTCCCTTTTCTTTCTGTCAAGGCCATAGTGTTCACTGCTGGTAAATCACATTAAGAGTTCTTAGATTTTGCTTGGTACTGGCTTCGTCTCTTTTTCCTGGCTGGCCACGAGATCTAACACGAAAGCAGTCTCATCACAAGAGACGCTGAATGGGTTTATTTTTCACCATCCTAACCATGTGCCTGACTCACAAAACTCAGTGAGCTATCACTGTGTTTTAGAACAGCTTGGTTCTTTGTTGACCCCCTGCACTTCCAAGTTGTATTTTCTCCTCCACATAGTTTTATCCCTTTCCAGCCTCCAAATTCATCTCAAACCTTTTGTTTCCAAGGTATTCAGTTATGATCCTTTCTTCATCGTAAGTGCTCAGGTCTCAAATTGTCTTAAAAATTGATCTTGTAATGGCCTTGGAAGTGAATGTTTTGTCTTTCTCAAAAGTTGTTGAGAAAAATCTTTGTAGTGAAAAGTACAAGGCCTTTGCATACGCCTTAGTATTAGTATTCTTTCCGAGGGAAATAATGGGACTCCAGGAGACACCAAAACACAGTCCCTAATTAAGCCTGTAATAAACTAAATCTCTTATACTGGCATAAATTCATTTCATGGACCTCTCAAATAGACAGTGAGGTTGGTCTAGATGGATGTTCAGGGACAGGACCTAATACTGGGCATCATCTAATGAGGCAAAAATAAAATGCAGCATTAGATTTTTTATGGCTTTGATGAATACTTAACAATGTAATGAATCAATGAAAAGCTGTTTAGTTTGCCACTGATTTTTTAATATCATGTTGAAAAAAAGCATCTATACATATATTGTATATATTTTCTTCCTACTCCAAACAGCAGTCCATAAGTTTGAAGATCCATACTTAGTAAAAAGCTACAATGTACAAAAAATGAATGGACTTGCCTATTCTGTAGGCCTAGACTTGGTAACATCAGATGTTCTGCATCTAATTTTCACTTTAGCGGGCCTAAAGCTCAAAATCAAACCTTCTCAGATTTTAAGAAAATTCCTAGTTTTAAGAAGCTAAAATCATTAATATCCCTAAGGATATCTGTACTAGAACATGCTTTGCTCATACACCCCTGAAGTAGGAGAAGACCTGGATTTGGCCTTTGCGTCTGAGTGCATTCCCTAATAGATGAAATTGTAATGAGGCATAAAGTGAAAATATTTTTATTGATTGTTAGGAAAATGCAGACAGTCTCTTCTTAAAGTAGCTTAAAGGAATGCTATCAGTGTCCAAAAATATATATTAAATTTTAAAAATTATTTTCTCTCTGTAGATATAATAATAGTAGTAAACATTAAAATACTATTTTTCTGTATTTGTTTTGATCATATATTTAGCAGTTCAAAATGTAGAATCACGTGGTAATACTGCTGTAAAGTCAAATAAATTCTTCTTTGTGGGAGATTCATTACATATATATATCTGTGTGTGTGTATGTACACACACACACAAACACACACATACGTGTACATATATGGCAATATGTATGTATTCCTTTCCCATAACACTGCATTTTTAAAAAATACTGTACTCACATCAATCTCAGAAGAGCCCTTTACTGAGCCATCCCTACTCAGGAAGAATCAGGTTTCATAACATGACTATTATTACTGAATCAATAAGGAATACTTGGTAGGAGAAATGAACAAGAGCACAGCACTATAATTTCTAGTAGAACAGAATACAGAAGACATTTATCTTTGATCAAATGCATTTGAAAGGTAATGCAAGCCTAAAAAATATTCAGCTCTTCAGAATCAAAACTTTCAGAATAGGTACATATAGAAAGAATATGTGTACATTTTGTTTCCCATGTCAATCCCGGGCATAAATTCAGCACTCAGTCTGAATGATTTATTTACACAATTCTGTTACCTCTAGCAACGCTGTTCAGTTCCCTAGACCTACTTCTTCAGTTTACCTTATCTCTACTCAATTGAAGGATTGAAAAAAAAGAGAGACAACACAGCCACACTTCCATACCGCAAAATCTTGTGCCTACTGAAAGGAAAAGGAGATGCAGGTGTATGGGTCAGGCTGACAATATATCCGTATTTTCTTAGACTCACCGTTCACCCAGCATTAGCTGAGCGTGAAGTCTTGTGTGTCAGCGGCATACGGTACCTCACATGTTTCCAGAACTTAGAATTGGATGACTGTGGCTGTCCTGTGGGTGGCTCTTTCCATTTGACAGTACCTTGCTGCTTAATAATATACTTAAGAGATTCCTGAAGCTTCTCATATGTCCCAATTGTCTCCATTTCCAGAAGGATGACCTTCGCACCATTTTGAATGAGGGCATTGTATAAAGCAATATGTTGATCATAAGCAAGATCTTCATGATGAATCAACTGCTGTGTTACAATGATGATCAACCGTCTGCTCTTCTGTATCCTTTTTTCAACTGCGCTGGCTGTATCTAAAAATGTACAAGAAAATTAAGAGACCATGAAATCTCTTTTATAGACTCTCTTTTATTTTGAGTTTAGGCATTTCATTTCCATTGCTTTTTAACTGGAAATAACCTCTGTCTCATTTGGATATAATTTTTATAAAGTTTCCTTTCAAATGTGTTCTTTAATTGAAACCTTAATATTTTAACTATACTTAGGAATTGTTAGGAATTTCTAATCCAGTAACCAAAAGTCAAATTCAGTGGATGCACATTGCACCAAATTTGTGCTTGATCCATCTATTTCCATATAAGGAATCATATACCATTGAGCTTAGTGATTTACAGACAGATCCTGCAATATTTATTAATGAAAATTAGCCATTTGGGGACATTTGGGTGACCATTATTTGTAAGAGCCGTATTTACTTGTAGAGGGTGCATTAAGTTTCCTGTTTGCGCAGCAGTTTCTGGGCTCTGCCTGGGCCTTTTGTGGGCCTTGTTGGAAGTTGTGGAGGCTTTCTGGGGACCCCCGAGGAACTAGACGGTGCTTGCTGCTAGCAGGAAGGAAGAGCTAGGCAAGGACTACTGCAGGGGACCTTGACTTAACTTCTCCTGGGAAGTTCTAGCTAGGTGGGGCTGCTGCTAACAAGCTCTCTGGGCTGCCCTGGTCAGAGGGAGTTGGGGCTTTTGTTTCAGGTGGATCCTGACTGGGTGGGTCAAGCACCCTTGTGAGTCACTGCTAGGCAGAGGCCTATATAAGAGCCAGGCCTAGAGCACAGCTCCCAGAGTGCAGCTAACAGAGGCAGTGAACAGATGCAGCAGTTTGTGCATGAAGGGTGCCAGAAGGCAAAGAAGGCACCTCTCCATTTTGCACAGTGGTGTGTCCTTCCCCGGGGCATGGTCATGACACACCGCAGAGCACATTCCCCAGTGGCTGCAGGAGGTGCTGCATCGGCTGCGTCTGAGGCCTCAACCCAGACAGACCCTCAGACAGCAGATGCAGCTCTGCAGGCGTTAGGCTGCAGAGAATGCCTGGGGCCTCTCTGTGAGGCCTGGGCTGACAGTCAGCTCTCCTGTGTGAGGTGTGCTGTGGTTGACCAGTTGCATCACCAGCTAAAGGAGTTACGGGAGGAGGTTAGTAGGCTGCGTAGCATCCGAGAGGATGAGCGGGAGATTGACAGGGCGTTCTCGGAGACTGTTCAGCTCCGG